CACTCGGCTTTTCTCCGAGACCTACGGCCTGAAAAGCCGTCGTTATAAAGCTTTAACTATAAGAACGCCTGGCTCTGTCTATTCATTACCCCCCCCCCCCCCCCCCCCCCCCCCTTTTTTTTTTTTTTTTCCTGTGGGTTTTTTTTTCCCCTCCTCATCAGGCTGGACTTTTTGAAATGAAACACAAATCAGGTCTCTGGAATAAAAGGTTGTGAGTATGCCTTGTGGCATTTGGAATGAGGCTATTCACTGCCTGAATGACTATAAATAGAAAGCAAGGAGCTGCGTATTTCTCAGTTCAGACTCCCTGCAAAGAAGCGCCCTTCCCAGTTAAAGGGTGACTTTTTGAAAGAAGCCTTGTTCCTTGAGCTGAATTGAATTGCTCCAGGAATTCTTCTCCTTGCAGCTTGCATAAAAGGCGTTAATCTCTAATTTATTTCTCCTTTTAAGAGGCAGTGTACTCCATCATAAATGTATATTCTTAGCCATGTTGCCAGATATGCCTGTCATGTCTGTACAGAGTTGCACGTAAAAAAATTCTGAGTGCAGAACATTGTTCTGGGCAATTTTTGTGCCTGAAAGCCTTCTTTTTGGCTCTGGGCCAGCTGTCGGCTCCCTTTTTATCTGGTATTCATTCTTTAGTGGGAAGGCTAAATTAGCAGCACTCAGGTTTTTGTGGTTGCGCAGTTATGTAAATGTAATGCAATCATTTTTCTTCTGCATCCCCTTTTCAGAAAGACTGTAGTGTTGAAGAAAGACACATAGTAGATGGGAGGAAAAAGTTTGACAGGTTTGTGAGTTGGCAGTGTTAAAGATCCTAGCACTCAAGCTGTTGGATTGGCTTTTCTTCTCTTTTTCACCCCTTTTTTCTTCCCCCCCCCTTTTTTTTTTTCTTTTTCTCCTCCTCTTTTTTCTTCCACCCTTTCCCCTTTTTTTTATCCTAACACAGTGGTGTTTTGTGTGGTGTTATTTTGAAAGCTGCTTCTTATTTTCTCCTCAGACCTTTTGTTTCACATTTTTTTCTACTTTCAAAAACTAGCAAGGGCAGCCTTTCTCATAGTCTTCTTTTCCCTGTTCATAGTTTTTAAAGAATGGGTCTATAGATTCTTTGCATTGCTCTTTCCATTACTTACGGAAACCTAGCTGTGTGAGTGGTTTTTCTCTTCCTTTGTTTAACAGAGGAATTAAAAGGTTGACAAATACCTTGGTTTTTTTAAAGCCCAGCCTGTGCATGGTTTCCAGTGGTTTTTGCATTAGTGCTAATGTAAAAATGAGAGCAACAGCAGACAGGAAATAAGGGGAGCAGTATGTCAGTGCTATTCACATTTCTAGTAGAAGGGAGGAAAAGCAGAAAAAGAAATGTGCTCTTCAGCAAGACCAGAAAAGCAGTTTTTAAGCAGTTGCCAATTAGACTAAGGAGATAAGAGATTCTATCATATTTAATTTCTTTGTAGTTTTCTAAATTGTAAATTTCTTAGGTTAAAACTGATGGTCAATGCCAATTGATTTTTTCATAGCTGGACAAATGAATAACAAACTTTGTAGACAAATACTGTCAAGTTGGTAGTTTCCTCCTCTTGATTCCGACTGTTGGGACATCTTGATCCTTGTCATTTCATCATTGTAATTTTACCTTGATAAATCCCCTTGAGCAGAGCTCTTAGTTTAGAAAGACAAGTGATTACTCAGGTTATATTTTATATTATACTTTCCAGATAAAAAAACCATGCATTTTTCCTAGATTAGCTATTGCATTGGTTTATTTTTAATTATGTTGTCCACTAGTTCATGGTTATATGAAATTTTGGATCATGTGTTTTTAAATTTATTGATAAGAATATTTTATGTGTTTAAAAGTAAAACATCATGATTTGTAAAATGGGTGGTAAGGACAGAGTGCATTTTTTTCCTAGTTATGGATCTGGTTTTGTTCCTTGTTAAAATATCCAACTTTTTTGGCAAATTTAAGGCAAGATGAAACTTTCCAGGAAGCACATCATTAGAACCAAGATAGTTGTTTCTAAAGTAAAAGTGGCCTCCTTTTTGTCAAAGATATTAATATTTTAGTCTTATTTTGAAAACTCCAATGCTGTCACCTAGCAGGTGAAGCACTGGAGAGGCCCTAGTCACAAAAGCTGTGTCCTTGGAGAGAAGTCAGGTGAGATCTGTCTCTAGGAAAGTAGCAGTGGTTTTTGTTCCTCTTCCCTGGGGTTCCTCCTTTCCAGGCTGGTTCAGGCAGTGAGGTTGTGGGCCCAGCTACCCTGCTGTCACCTTCCATTCCTGTAGCCTGGCCATCTGTTCAAGGCCCCAGCCGCAGTTCTGCATGAGCAAAGTCCCCACTCAAGCCCCATGCCTCTTGAGAACATCTCAGAATGGATCTTTGTTTTATCAGATAATCAGAATTGACAAACTCCATGCCTCAATTTCACCAATGTCTGTGATGAAAGATCTGGTTTGGTTTCAGGTCTCGCTTCCCTTAGCAGTTAGAAGGGTTTTACAAATTGTGCTCAAACCATGTGGATGGTCAGTCCTCTAATTCACCTTCTGGCCCTCTCTGCTCTCATATCTGAGTGTTTCTTAACCCAGAAACCATGGCTGTTTGTCTCAACCAAATTCTCTGCTACCTGTGAACAACAAAAGTGATGTAATTGCCTTTCCCATTGAGGTAAGATATAAATAAAAATGTTTCTTTTATTTTAACACTGTTTTTACTGAATCCTTCTGTGTTCCTTTGGTTTTGTCTTTGCTTTACTTTTCTCCAGTCTGACCCTGTGTGGCAGCAGTATTGTTAGCTCCCATGGCTCCAGCTGCGTTCCTGTAGGAGTCAGGAGGTTTCTGTGTCTTGTGTGAAACCAAGAAAACCTATTCACCTTGGCCACATCTGGAGGCATGGCACTGTTGTCTGAGGTGATACAGAAAATCCTTTATTAAGAGGTACTTCATGTGCCTTGTATGTGTCTGCAGACTCAGAAGGATCTGGGGTTAGGAAGGAATATTCCCTGTAATTTGCTGTCCAGCCTGATGCAAGGTCCTCTTCCTGTTAGCATGGTGTAGAAGTGGGAGCTGTGCATCTGTGTGGCAGTGTAGATGTCATCCACTTTGCCTGTGGCATGAGGATGGGTGACATTCAGTGCCACTAGAGGGACCTCAGTGTGGAGCAGTGTATGAATTTACCTGGACTCCATGTTCTTAAATGGTTTGGAGATGGACATCTGTGAACCATTTGATGAATTGGTGATTTGGCAGGTGTCAGGTTTTTTTTGTTGGAAGGGAAAACAAGTTGTGTTTCTTTTTTGAAAAAGAGCTCTGTGCTTTCCACTGATAAATGCTCTTGTCATACAGCAGCACAGGATAATCTACATATATCTTGTTCTAGCTGTATAACCCTTTCTGAACACTCAAATCTCTGGTGCAGGTTCATCCTCAGTGGGAATAATAGAACTACCCCAAGTCTTTTGTTAGATCAGAATATTTAATGGGTGGCATATTACTAAATCAAAGCAGCAAAAATGGTTTAAAGAGAAGCTGCAATCAGCAGCTGAATGTAGAGCCAGTACTCCCTGCATGTAGCAACATGAAGCAGGACCTGGACTGAAAGCACAGAAATGTGTCTTTGATAAAATGCAAGTGAAATATTTGCCATGAGCATTAAAAAGAGAATTGTTTCGGTTTGTTTGCACAGCTCCCACAAAAATAACTTAAGCAAATTTTCAACACCTAGGTTGTCAGTGCCTGGACAGCTTGTGTAGAAACCACTGCAGCTGGGAAATCTTGTGCCTGTGAATTTATGCTTAGAATGGAAATTACTCTTGAAGGCTGTGTTGTGCTTTGGAAATTTCTGTTAGTCCAGACTGAAAAAAAAGTACAGGAAATGTACATTGCCCTGCTGAATTCCTACTTAAAAATGGAAAGACCAGCCTAAGGTGTGACATTACCCTGGCAATTCAGAAAAGTTGGGCACAGAAGAATGAGCATTTAATGCCAGATTCCCTGGGGAATCTTGGAGGTGACAGAGATCAGAACCAGAACTTTCTGAAGATTCTCCCAGAGGAGTGATTGCAGGACTCCTGGGTTTGGGGTTTGGTTTTGTTGTTTGTTTTGGGTTTTTTTCCTTACAGGCAGCTTGTGTTTAGCAGAGGTTTAATAAGGTCCAGCCTTGGATTTTTTTCCCCCTAGGGAGAGATTGTATTTTGCAGCAACTTTCTAGAGCATCTTGTGAGGCAGTGAAACATAAGTACTTGCCATTTAGAGAAGGATTAAAGTTTGTACCACCCAGTTCTGCAAAGCTGAAGAGCTCTTGTGAAGGGCAGTGATGTTCCCTGCTTGACTTCACAGATTATTAAATTGAGACCTTTAGTGAACTGCTGGGAGATGGTCAGATTTGGGTCTCGGGCCAGGTCTAGGAGTTGGGCAGGTTAGGAGTGTGGAAGAAGTCGTGTCCCTCAGCTGGTGTGAGGGCCAGGGAGGTCATTTGCTCAGAGCACTTGTGTTATCCTGAGAGCACCATCACTCCTCCTTCCTTCAGCATGAGATGTTCCTCTGCTAGTGGGTGTTTCTGGCAGAGCTGCGCTGGGGAAATCTTCCAGCAGAAAGTAGATCCCCAGGGGACAAAAGTAGGTGGTTCTTGTTCTGACTTGCTGCAAGACCTTTGGCTGAGTGTTTCAGCATCTTGTGCCCCTGTGGTGGAAGAAGGATAGTGTTTTCCAGCTTGTTAAAGCCTTACTCATTCAAGGTCTATGAAATGCTACATAAATGCAAACTTGCTGTTGCCAGCAGATGAGATTTAAGGCATCTTTGCAGAGTGCCACAGCCTCTCCTCTGGTCTCTGCTCTCTCTTCTGTATGGTTTGACTTATGCTTTGAATGTTCT